TCTACCATTACTTGAAAAGCAAATTTTAATTCACAAGTACAGCCTGCCTGGCTTTGCCATCTATTGGATTTGTCTGACAACAAGAGGTGAAAGGATTCTGCAGCTCCATTGTCTCAACTGCAGGATCTAAGAAAACACTGGCAGGCTCATCAGAGAGGTTTATGAGCCTGCAATTCAAGGAGATTAAAAGGAAAAAATCTACTGAGATTCTTTCAGGCTACAGAACCACATTAAATAACTATTAGCAGCTTGGTTCAGGAAAGCTTTACTAGAGCCCTTGCTGGGTCATTCAGAAATTGTAAAAGAGGAAAGGTATTTAAGTTTCACTTGAGGATACAATAAATATTTCTTGGGCTATTTAAAGCTGAGTTTTAGGGAAAGGGTTGCAAGCAGTAAATGGAAATGTAACGTTTTTAACAGTTTATGGCAATAGTAAAAATAGTCATAATACTTAAAAGATTTTTCTAGCTCTTTATCAGTCATATATTCTTAGGATTGTTTTTTTTTTTTAAATCAAACATGTAATTAAAAAAAGTTCAAGATATATAGTCAATCAACTACTGTTCATTGTATCTACTAAGTATCAAAATCATCACAGACTCAAAACTTGGATATTTTCAGAAGTTAATTTTTTCTAATAGGCTGTTTAATTTTTAAACAATTACTTAAATTTGAGTCTCTTGCATTAATTTAAAATAACCATGCTTACTTTAGTTTGACATGATAAGTCATGTGTTAAGAATTTTCGTAACAACAAGGTGTTTGTTAAAAAAAATAGAAAAAAATACTGCTTCACTTGTAGCCAACGCAGATTAGAATTAACTCCAAAGAGCTACAGTAAAGGCTTGAGTTCCAACACTAGTTGAGGGTCTACAGCCGTAAAATCCATGGCTAGAGAAGGAGTATACGCTTCTGTCACTTAAAGAGTATATCCTGGCACACTGAAAAGCCTAAAGTAACGGCCATGTTAAAAGCTTTACTTTGGTCTAAAAGTATTTTTTTAAGCAGGAATTTTCTTAACAAGGAACAACTAAAATATGCTGCTTTTTTTTTTTTCCTGTACTATGAGAGGAATGGGGAAGGAGCAGGAAGAGAAGGAGCTACTTTCTATTTAGCTTGTTTTTTTCATGTTCCTAATTTATGACCACACCTGTGTACGACTCCCTTTCTAAACCTGCAGTAGAAGCTTAACTGAGAGTGAGGACACATCCTCAAAGATTTTTCAGGTTGTAAAGAGATTGGTATTGCCAGTGAAAGCTGAATTAGCAACCAGGTATTTTAAAATGAGCTATTTTAGGCTAACCAAAGATTTTTGCTGTGCCTTACTGCCTAAAGGGAAGCTATAGAGAGGATGGAATCAGACTCTTGTCTCAGAGACAAATGGCACAAGCTGGAACACTGGCAATTCCAGTTAGGACCTGTAATTCCTTATGTCTAAGAAATAAAGCAAGAACAAAAGGAAACCGATGCTGAATATATATATTCATGTACAAAAATTGCATCTGCACTATTTTTCTAAAAACTGTAATTCAAAAATTGAAAATCAAAATGAGGTATGTGGCAAGATGTGAAGTCTCTTACTGGTGATTATACCCCTCACTCTACAAACACTTGGGCATTATGGACACCTGAGTCCCTCATCATGTAAAAACATATTGTCCTGGACAGAACGTCACTGGAGCCATACATGGAAAAAACCCTAGATTCTTAAATTTCTCCACCCTCTGCCCCAAAAACATATACAAAGCAAGTGGTTTTTGTGTCAGTCCCATTACTAGCTTTGAATTATTTGCTATATTTAGCGTCAGAAATTAATCAAAGTCACTAGTTTACTTGCTTAATTTTAATTGTGACCTTTCTGTTAATCATTCAATCATTAATCATTAAAATGTAAAATGAATTAGTAAAGTTAATTTTCTTAATTGTGATTGTTTAGATACACAGTTCCTTTGTATTTAAGTCAACAAAAACCCACAAAAATTGCAGGGCTACTATTCAAAGGGACCTCGATAGGATACAGAGATGGGCTGACAGGGACATCAAAGGGTTCGACAAAGATTAAGTCAAGCTTTTGGGATGGAATAACCTAAGGCACCAGTACAGGCTGGGAGACAACTGGCTGGAAAGCAGTTTTCCAGAAAAGGACCTGAAGGTCCTGGTGGCCAACAGGTTCAACACGAGTGGGCAGCGCACTCTCGCAGCAAAGGCCAACCCCATACTGGGCTGTATGAGCAAAAGCGTAGCCAGCAGGTCAAGGAAGTGATTTTATTCCTCTCCACTCAGCACTTAATGAGATTGCTTCTGAAGTCCTGTTTTGGTCCCCACAGTATGAAGCACTGACCTATAGCAGCAAGGCCCCAGGGGACTGCCAGCATGGCCAGGGGTTGGGACACATGTCACACAAGGAGAGGCCAGAAGAACACAGGCATCTCATTGTCTACAGCTACCTAATGGGAGGGTGTTGAGAAGACTTCCCAGAGGTGCACAGTGGAAGGATAAGTGAAAGGCACAAGTTCCAAAAAGAGTCCTTATATCCGACTCAATAGAAGGAAAACATGTTTTGGTTGGGGTTTTTGTTTTTCCTACTATGAGGGTGTTCAAACATTGGAGCAGACTGCCCAGAGCAGCTCTGGAATCTCCATCCTTGGGGATATTATAAACTAGGCTGAAGGAGGTCTGAGCAACTGACCTGTGTGGACTTGCCTCGAGTAGGAGATTGATCTAGATCACCTGTGAAGGTCCCTTCCAACCTACATGACCCTCTGATTCTGTAAAAGTTTTTTATTCTTTCTAACTGTGACACAAAAGCATGAACTTTCAGGGTTCAGATGACTTCTAACATGAAAACTGTAAAACAGTTTTTTTCCAAGCTAAACTCACTGAAGAATGTTTGGTAATTATTACTGTCAAACTTGATTTTAACTGTATATTCATCTTTTCTAAGTGGGATACCATTTAGACTGGAACCAAGTATGAAAAAAATCTCTAAGAAAATTTGCTCAGGAAAAAAAAGTCCATTCTTAATAGGTAAATTGTTATGCAGCTTTTTTTCCATCCCCCAAATCTTTCACAGGGATTGGAAACAAGAGATTCCTCATTATAAAAGGGTATCCTCATGTCAAAGAAAGCATAAAACAATGAATTGGAAAATTTTTTGCAAAACATACAAAAAGGCAATTCTTTTAAGATTTCCAGGCCAGAGAGGCTTGGATAAGTATTTGAGCCAAACCTCTTAAGCAGTTAGAGGTTTGTCCTTTCCACTTTAATACTATGACCTGAAGGCATAAAAAAATTAGGAGATCATTGTGATACCTTCAGAGAAAAGCAGTATTAAGATCTGAAAGCACATTTACCTGTTATTCTCAACAATTCAATGAAAAGACTATTAAAACCATAAAGCCCCACAGAATTTCAGCTGCTTAGAACTTCTCTGGCCACTGAATTTCTGAGCCAAGTAATTCAGATTTAGTTAGTATAACACAAGAAGATATACACAAATAAATGATCTGTGAAATGGGGAACAGACTACAGTGCAAGGACTTCCTGCTGGCTGGCAGCCACACACACGTGCACACTGGCATCCTTCAGATTCTGCTTCCTTGGCTTTGCAGTCGTACTAACTTGCTGTATCACCTCTCTCATCATTATTCCCCTTAGCTGCTGTCTCAAGTCCTTTGTTTCTGTGAGCTTTTACAGCAGCGTCTACGAATTTGTCTAGAATCATGACTTCGGAAGCAACTTGACAGGCATTCGAAGAACTAGAATTTATTTCACCATCGTTTTGCTGGCAGGGAACATGCTGCAAAGAATGCAGCAACACTGCACACGTATGTTACGTGTGGCTCAGTTTGAAACACTGGGTCCTCTGTGAATGGCACCTTCTATATTGAAATACATCTAGCCATTATCATACCATTACCAAATACCGTTGTAAATAAACGTACAATTTGTCTTCATTTACTAAGTCTTTTTTTGCAGAACCTTGAGATGCCTTTTAGAAGAACTCATCAGGTTGCAAAAGAATCTCAAGAAATACAGATAACCTTTAAAATACTGTAGAATAAATTTTGTCAAAACTAATTCATGGCAATGTCCTTAAATTCCATGGGAAAACGAAGTACCTTATTAAATCTTGATGTAACTCTCGACTTCAGTGGATTAACCTGACCCAAGCAAAATGGACCTTCATGGTCTGTGCTTAAGCTTTAGGTAAAACTCACTAGATACACAAAAGACTTCCAACTTAATCTCTAATATTTGTTTTTCCCTGTGCATGTACAATTTGTGAAAATAGAAGACACAGCCAATACTACAATGCTAAGAGTACAACAGGATGAGAGCACTAGGTAGCAGAAATTCCTGCTCTGGCATCACATTCAGGCATTTAAAAAGAAGTTTGAGATGAAAATTTCTTTAAGTTTGATCTTAATACCGTTTACATAATAAATTAGCACAGGATCAGCTTTTTCCATTCCTTTAAAATATCTGTTCAACAATTCCGTTTTCACCCCTCCACTCTCTTTTCCAAAACGCACACAAAGTCTGAAATAGAAGATTATTTAACTAGAGAATTCATACTGTGTATATACAATTATATATCACTCTTTTTATCCTGCAGTGATGCATATCTGCCAGAATGACTACGCCTTTGTCTCTCAAAGTTCTGGTATCCGCAGCGGCAGGGGAGTTAAAAATCAGCACAAGAGAGAAAGGTCTGATGGTGTGCCAATGTACAATGGAAGAGAATTCAATAACAAGCTGCAGAGACAGTGGGCTTTTATCAGACACATTCAAAAGTGGTGGTGGCTACACGTCAATGCTGGACCAGAGTGTGTTACTGCAGAGTGCGACTGAGTGTTTTCCCCACAGGCAATACACTATTATTGACTCCCCCCATTAACATGTAGGGTGGATATACATTTATTGAAGGTTCTAATGGAAGGCTGAGGGACTCCTATCCTGAGGCCAGAGCAGAAAGACAGCCTATCACTTCATGTAATGGTAGCCCATGTGTGACAGACCTGACCTACATTTCCCCCCTTTCTTTCTCACAACAGCCTGTCACTGTTTTAAGAAGCTATTTTCTGAGAGGTATAAAAAGAAATGCATGCTAGAGCTGCCTAGTTAATGTGTTATATTGGATTATTATTTAAAAACCTGCTTTAAAAAGCCTAGTTTAGACTACAGATAAAGTATGAAAGCTACCATAACACACACAACCAAAAAGAATGTGTCTTAATGATTCTGAAGTGCTTATAAACCCATACACATTGAACACTAGGTATACATGGATTAATACCTGTATCTAAGATACTGCAACAAAATGTAGTGTAAGACTTAAAATTAAGAATGTGTAATGAAGCTGCCTTAATAAAATAAAAAGGGCTAGTCTGTAATTAGTATAAATTTCATATTCATTCGAGTTATTAGGAATAACGACAGCTAATGTTTTGTTGGAAGTAATTCAGTGTTTTCACTAGCTAATGTATGTGTAGCAAAAGCTATAAATAATGGATCCACAGCTGAAAAGTAGGACAAGAGTGAAAGAAAGATTTGGTTCAGCAATAAACAGCATTTTAAAATACCATCTAACTACCACTCCCAGACCTTGCTTATTTAAAGAGCTGCTGCCACTACAGCGCTCCTTGGCAGGAACCTACCACGCTGCTGCAGGTCATACTCTTTTTTTGTCTCTTCGTTCCCTAGAATTTTCCACGCTTGATCGATTTCGATGAACCTCTGCACGCGCTCCTCCACTTCTCCTGCTGGCACATCTGCCTTCTGTTTGTCTGGATGATACTGCCAATCAAAAAAAAAAAAACAAACAAACAACAAAACAAACCCAGATAAAAAATGTTGAGGGGAGTGGAAGTGAGGAGAGTGGAAGAGGAGCAATCAATAATGCATTTGATATTCAGTTAAAAGGACAGAGAAAAGGAGAAGGTCTGAGCTAAGGTGCCAAAGGAAGGGAGACAACAATGCTGGGCACAAGAAAAAACTGCCAATTTAATTAGACCACTGAAATGGCAACAAAACCACCAGTGGCACAAACGTCACCATGTGCACTGACGGCATTTTCTGGATAATTTGCTGATGGAATCATTGGTCTTATGGACAATTTACCTACAGAGAATGACTACCACAAACAGAAATAGGTACATGCAGAGGACCATGACACTGGTACAAGAGGAGGTGCTGTAGTTGCTAGCAGCTCACGTAATGTTACACATAGTTGATTTAAACACCACCACCAATGTTTAGTCAAGGCTACTGCAGATAAAGTGAATGCTGTATTACATGTACCTCGCTTTTTAAAAAATTTAAATGGTAAATAGAACATACGTAGTCAAATATAATTTATAATACATGTAATTCTACTTTTGAAAATATGCCTCAACATCTTTAATTTCTTCCAGTTCAGTGAATCAATAGCCCTTCCAATATTTAAAGTCATGGATCACTGGCTACAAAATTGTGTCATTTTAGTTAAGAAATGGTTATTCAAGGACATGGCTGCAAGAAATCCCACATTAAATAGGCTATAAGAATTAAAATTAAAATGTTTTCTTTACCATTTGTACTACAGGTCCTGAACAGAGCATTCTGGCTTCTTTTTTGATTCAAATGTCTATTGAAAAGGAACTCTCAAAGCTCCATCTTCCTGTAGCTCTAATTCATCTCCAATAATCTCTTTTTTATATTTTAAATTGCTCAGTATAAGTGATAGACTCACAGGAAACAGCCTTTAAGATGAGAAAGTTGCAATGTAATCAGACCTATCAGCTGTTAACTGTGTTACAAATCAAGATATCCCGTCTTCTGGAGCTTCAACTTCTGCCCTTTATACTAACGTCAGCTGGGGCACTAAAAGGTACAGCAGTTTTTAAGACTTAGAACACCTGTTCTACAAGTGTTTAAGCAGATTTCTGATGAACCAAATCCCTTTGTTTTAGTTTATAATTAATTTTAGAAAGGCAAGAAAATAATACTACTATCACGTGTGCTTTGTAAAATTATAAAAATAAAAGGACCACTTCTACTGGAGTCTGTGTCTGTTGTTTGCACTGATGGATGTTACCCAGATAAATCCCCTGTACAATAAGAAGAGAATGTACGTAAGAGCAAAATGTTAATCTTTGACTTCAAGTTTTTTTCACAGGTATTTTTCCATATACCAATGAATGTACCTGTAACCTCAAGTATGAAGTCTGTACGTAAATGTGTATTTTTGTTCCACCATCCGAGTAAGCACAGTTGAAGTCATCGCTGCATTCAAGAGTGAGGACTAGCTTGTAACTTGCTGAAAATGTAGCTAAAGCACAGCTGTGATCCCTAAAGGTTTATCTCTCAGAGATCCCTTTTTTGTCTCCTCGGCTGAAGGTGACAAAATTCTAAGGGGCAGGGGCAGACAAATCAAAAGTGTTTGGTCACTGCACTTCGTCATTGGATTCTAAATAGCTAATTAGAAAATGAGTAATTATGCCTTTATCTGGTAGGCACTAAATTCAGTGTTGTCAGCATGCATCATGTTGCAAAGAGTTATATGACGGCCGTGTCTTTCACTGCATTTGGGTGACACTGTAAGCATTCTCCTAGAAGCTTACACCCCAAAGGATGTAAAGGCCTATCCAAGGAATATTGTACCAGAGAGTACCACAGAAACTTAACTAGATTTGAATAGCACTGCCACAAAACTGTTACTCATATTGTTATATGTTTGGATTGGCCACAAGACGACACCTTCTCAGACCAGCTTCTTACAGATACACGAAAACATCACTGACCAGTTGCCCAAAACAGCACTAAGACTACTGGCTTCCCTCCTGCCAAGGATGTTGAGAAAACACGCCCACAGAATTGATCACACTTTTCCTTTACTACACTAAAACTTTGCCTGACTGAAAAATAAGTTTGGACTATACTGGAAGTAGTTATTGAAAAACAGTAAGCCGCAAGTTTCATAAAAGTACTTTGGGAAAATAATAATCGGTGCAGAAAAGGCTATTCTGTTCATTTCTTAAATAATGCCAAAAATTCATTATTCTTCAGATTTATCATTTAGCTTTTAACTTCTTTCCTATAGATTTGGAAATTTTAGTATTTGTAGCATATGCAGTTTTTACATCTGAAAGGCTACAATTTCATGTAACTAATAACTACATTGCAGGGGATCAACTAACTAGAAAAAATAAAACATCTATTTTTGTCTCCATGCTTTTGGAAACTGTTTGCTCCTTCCTCTGTCAGGCTTGTTCCTCTATTACCATCTGATGCCTTTAAAAGTCTGCATCTACACTGAGAAAAATCCTCAAACCTCTGCTCTTTTACTCTAATCCTCTTTTTTTCCAGTCATCCCGTTTCACCTGCATTCTGTACCTGTTCTCATTGACTCCCGTTTCCTACTCTCAGCTCGCTGATCAAAATCCAAGACTGCTTGCTTGTAGCAAGAATCCTCTCTTGATTCAACTGCTCATACCCTTCACTCATCTCTGAGACGACAAACGAGGTGGCCTCTCTTCCAGTGGTTTAGGCCCTGTTCAGCCAGCTCAGACGCCAACCGCAGAGGACACCTTAGCAAAGTTTCAACCATCCTACGAATAGCTGAAGTTAAGAGAGAGTACACTGATGTTCTCCATCAATGCTGCAGACATTAATCAACCATACTCTTGCTTCTGCTTCTCCTCCCTCTCCAGCACACCCTTCAGAGGAGCTGCCTCAATAGAGCCAGGGGTTTGGCTTCGTTTTGAGGGAGGTGAAATATGATGTACTTTTCTGATCTCCTCCTCTTTTCCCATTCAGCCTTATTTCTGGGTTAATCTCAGCTGCAACCGTGTACAAGCTCCGTAATGAAAACGGACAAGCCTGTTTTCTACTCGACCTATCTCCTTCTATTCAAACTGAACTATTGTTCATCTCTCCCTCTGTGCATCCAGTTGCAAGTTCTTACTCCAAACGTTAGAACCCTGAATGCCTCCTGCAATACCACTTCTCAAAATCTGTGCAAATTATCTTCATGTCATTCATACCTCTCACCTCAGCACTATTTTCAGGTGCATTACTGCACTTCAGATATATTTAAATCTTTCTGGCTGCATATGTTAAAAATTTTAAAGAAGTAATAGTTCCATAAAAATAGCTTTTTGCTGAGCACTCATCTCGATTTTTGAGCACAGTAATATTTACTAACATGTTACTACTTAATATGACTTTTTAAAACCAATAAAGGATATTTCCCCGAGTCTAACAGCGGGAGGGGAAAAGGAAGAAGGTTAGAGACGCATGCCCAATCTACTTTTCCTTTTTTATACTTCTACTAGAAGCAATTTGCTAACTTCTTTCCATTACTAAAGACTGTCTGGAATTTATATCACTTTACAGCACATGATGCTTTCTAGTTACTGTGCATGTTAAAAAATAAACTGATTGATAATGGAAATCTATTAGTTCCCATACATGCCATACTGCTCGCTCCCCTGATGTTTATCTTATATGTCACATTGTCATAGTATTTCTTGAGGACTCTGGCTCTTGGTTTAAGGGTTAATTTTAAATTTTTTCTGTAGGATTTTTTTTTGTTTTAGTTCTTACAATCACTAAGCAAAATTTGAAAAAGCATGAACCTTGAAGTCCAAAGCTCAAATGAAAAACACACTTTAAATGTTATCTGTTGGAGACTTTGTGAAATTTTTAGTGCTGCAGGGAAACAGAAAAGCAGGCTAATACAAACTTAACCTCATGCCCTTTTCCATTACAGTATCATTATTTTACCTTTCTAAAACAACTGTATTGAACTGTCTTATTTTTAATATACATCAGACTGTACTTCTCAACAGTTTGTGTATATAGGGAATAGCATATCACCTGGCAAACATACCCCAAAACACAGATACTGGTTCAGTTTGTATTTATGTAAGTATGTAAAAATTTAGAATTTTTTCTTGGAACATCTTAGTTCCGGTAAATTAATTGTATGTCATTATGTTAATCTTTGATACCGACTACCAACTAGAGAATAACAAGTGAGCAATCTTTTTCTGTCTCAGAAAAAAAGGTGTTAATGTTGTTGCTTTCACCAAATAATTAAAAGTGTAGACCCTCCACAAATTACTTGAGATCCATCATATAGTGATAGGGCTCAAACTACTTACTTGTCTACTACTTTCTTAATGATTCTTGCAGCTGATAAGAGCATTGCTTTACATCATTAGCCGACATCCTCAGAACAATAGTTGCAAACTTTTTCTTTTACATTACAATGATCATTAATGAGTTCAACTAACAAGTCGAGTAAAACAATCCCCAAAATTAAACCTTGTGACCTTTCTCCTCCTCTTAGGAGACTGGTATTTTCATTTGTACAGCATACCATAGATATGGTTTTCACCCACAGGGTTTATGTAAGAATTAGGAACACAGTACAGAACATTCGACTTCTACATTCTTTATTTCTGCCTACTTTATACTCCGTGAAGTTTGGTCCCTTTCTGCACTTCAAGTATTGCAAAATTAGTCCCTGAACTTTAATCCCTGGAAGTTAAAAATGATCATTTGGTCAGTAACTGTAATGATATCATATCTCAATAACCATACCAACAGACCTTAAGGACTCTTATACCACAAGATGAGAAACTACGATAGCTGGTTGAGCAAATCAAGCGACACAGAGATAACACACCAAGGTCCCTATCCCTCTAACACTTGTACAAGTTGCTTAACTTTATGCAATAAATGTAATAAGCTTGATTGATTTTAATCAAATTAGCAAGCAGAAAACCTCCAGTTAAATCAATTTAAAGTAC